ATATATATATATATATATGTATATATTATATGAATTCTTAACACCTTTTTACACATACATCCATATTCTTTTGTTTCTTTTATTTTATTTCTTATTTTCTTTTATACTATTTTATTTTATTTGACTCTTTACATGGTGAATATAATTTTATAATATGTTTCCTATATTTATATATAATAAAATCATAGTCCACGTTAAAAAGCATAATACTATTTTATTCACTTTATCATTTTATTCTCTGATAAATTATTTTATAATGCGCGATTTCAGAAATCCGAATTGCATGATGCGGACCACATTCAAATATGCACGTAGATCATTAAGTATAGAAATGTTTGCGCAGGTGCTTGATTAAGTTGATAAAGATAAATTTATCTTGCAAAAATCATGCGGTATATAAAGTTTTATTTTTTTATACTTATTAAAGCAAAATGCAGGCTATAAAAGTAATAGATAAAAATTACTGTATTCTCTTTGATAATATCCATCGCTTTTTATTAAAATATCCCATTGTATATATAACTTATATATTTTTTAAAAATAACCCATTATTATGCTGTAACGAGCTTTCAATTAATTATTAAATTTAATATTTAATAATGATAAATATACATAAATTTTATACATACATTCTCATAAATATACCATATGTTTATATTCCTACCAATTATATTACGTGCTTAATTTTATCGTTAACGTTTATGAGTGAAATATTGTCTCGATTGAAAACGAAATAAGAAAACTCGATTCGAAAAGATTGGTTTAGTTTGATAATTCTCGTAACTGAAATTTTGTGCATTATTGATTGACGACTAATTAATTGGAGACTCGTGATTTTAATTAAAGCTTACCTTTCTATATGTATCTTTCATATCTATTTCAATTAGGCGTTTGGAATTCGAATATGGACAGTGGCGGTTTTCAATATATTGGTTATGAAATTCTAATAATTCCACAGCTTCATTGAGCCAGAAATGTATCATTTTCATATCCATCTATCTTTGGTTCGACAAAATTTTGATCTATCGTCTGTTAATTAATCGTCTATTTATATTGTCCAACGAAATGGTACGAATTTTAATATTCAAGTGCGATATAAATTTCGGTATCGGTTTTATCGAATCTTTAGAAGCAAATATGTACAAAAATTAATGAAATTTAAGATTTAAACTCTTAATTGTCGAGAACTTTCATAAAATATATTTGTTAATTTTTTTCAAAGTTAATCTCTTACATATTTTGTATAGGATAAAAAAGAACACGTGTTTCTAATATACATGTTTTATTAGTCTCTCTTTCTCTCTCGCTCTCTCTCTCTTTCTCTCTCTCTCTCTCTCTCTCTCTCTCTCTTTCTCACTCTCTTTCTCTCTCTCTTGCTTAGATGTATTTTTTTATTATTATTTATGTGACATATTAGTTTTGAGTGTCAATCGTCCCGACAGTCTCTTCGGAAACTGGTAATTGAGTGCAGTTACGCAATAAGTAATTAAGTTTTCGTAATTTTTAGTTCTATATTGATTTTTGTATTGTATTGTGGACAGGAAATTTTTTAAAAACGCATAAAGCACATGGAAATGTATATGAAGAGGATTATAATTCGAGATAATTCATTATATTCGAGATAACGTTGGCGTAGAATTTTATTTCTAACGTTTCGCGAAATTTGCTCTAGCAAAAGAAGGTTTTGCAGTTGGTTCCGCATTGTAGAACTGCGTCCAATTAAAACTTTAATTTCCTGTCCAATCTATCAATATTATCTCATGGATATAGCCGGTGTCTACTTATACGTGATATTTCGAGAATTGTTACGAGGGGTAAAAGAGTGCCGCGCAGCAAGTCGTACTTGCCGACATCGACAGCGACTGCTGTCTGGCGATTAACATATAAATCAAACCTCCGACGGCAGGCTAGCTCCTCCTTCTCGCGCTCGAATTCGCTCCCGGATTCCCCTGTTACCCACGCCGGATGCGTGTGCGCCGCCAGCCACCTTTGTGTACTGTTCCCTCTTCCTCTCTCCTTCTCTCTCTCTCTCTCTCTCTTTCCCGAAGACGCGCTGAAGAGATGTGCGGATGTTGAGAAGCTGAGAGTCATCGAGGATGTATTTTCCGCTCAGCTGAACAATCAGCAACGAACATGGTGTTCGACTGAAAGCGTGTGAGCAAGACGATACTCAGTGCCTGTTTTAGGCCATTCTTTCAAAACAATTAATTATCTCGTGAACTAGGCAAATATGAATTTTCAGCACACAAATATGGAAAGAAATTTTTACATGTGAAGAGCGTGGAATTACATTATCAGTAATTTCATATTCCATGCAGATTTACGCGTCGAATTTGCAGGGAAATACTTGTTTTTGACCATTGTGCAAACTTATGAGAAGTTTGGTCATGCTAACACGAGATACGAGATCTTTACGCAATTCTTTAGATTGATCGATTATCACGAAGCTTTGATAATTAATTTAATATTTTCCTGTATACTGTGTGACACGTATGTGCCGTATGTGCAACTTGACCGGACGTGTTTCCGAGGACTGAAGTTCCACTTAGCGAGAGGTCTACGGGCGTAATTTGAGGAAGGAAACTAACATCCTTGCTTCTCTCCAGTACATCTCGTTCTGAAGCCATGATGAGTAGCCGAGGTGGAACGAGTCCTGGGTGCCGTAAGTCTGCCACGCAGGACTAACGAGACCTGGTCCTGAGAGGATTCCCGGTTTGGACATTCGTACCTACCGTAACGGGTACTTTCTCCTTTACCTGCTCTCCTATTCTTTCTGCTTTCTCCTTTCCTTTGCCTATAATACGAGTGTCGCGCGCGCGCGCACGTCCAAGACGATTACTGCACACTGGGGACGCGCGTTGTAACGGCGTATGCAATTTCCACACTCTCGCTGTTCGCAATTTATCAGCGGTGAGAGTCGACCGCAGAAGCGCGCTGGAAGGTGGAAGATCGAGAAACGAGAATGTATCCCGCCGAGGACATGTGTCTTGTTGTTTCTTCACGCCGAAATAGCGTAGAGAGGGATGAGAATTGGCTGAGGGTACTTACTTTCCCGTGAGATGCGGTCGTTGCGATTCGACGGCGATCGCGAGTGCAGTCCGATGGAGAAAATATTGCGAGATATCTGAAAGATAGTGAAGGCGCGAATCGGGCGCGAAATGAGATAAACGCTTCAGAAACAAGTCTTCGACTGTTGCGCGACGTGGGTTTGTGACTTCGACTTATGCTCGAGGGGCTGGTGCAATTTTTATCGCGAAGCAGGATTATACTGCGGCAACACAACTCGGGTCTGGTTTAGCGACGCACCGACGATACATCTGCGTGCGAGAGCCCGGCGCGTGCCAATTAACAATTAACAATTTTGATAACGAGCTGTAGAATAATTCGAATTAGCTCTAATCGAATAATTCCGCGCTGCGTCGGAATGCACTTTCCGTGCCTATGTACCCTCGTATCCACCCGTTGTCTAGCCGCTTTAAAGCCGCACCTGTACGTACGTCAGCCACATAATTGGCTTTCGCGATCGTGCTGAAGTACTTGAAGGCGCGAGGATTACCGGGAACCTGATTGCGCGAGAGCTTTGTGCGGCAATTTGGATTTTCTCGTCGTTCCCCTGCACCCTTCGCCTTCGTCTTTGCCATCACTATGTCGCCTCTATAAAGCTTGTGCGTCTTGCTTTGCAAGTAGATAGAGATGCGTTCGAAAGAGCAGGAAATCGGCAGACTGAAACTATCTTTCTCGATAGGATACATTGAGCATTACCATCTCTTTTTAGTTCATAATTAATAAGACGAGTATTTAACGGAAGCCGAACTGTCTTTGACATTATTTGATAACGTTTAATAAACCGCA